CAGATCTGCGCTGTTGCTGCTGTGTTTTGTCCAGCATCTGATCAGATCTGAGTTGTTTTTTGAAGTTGCTGTCATCACGCTCCTAGCGCCGCCGCTCCACTACGCTCGCGATCGCCAGCTATAACTGTTGCGTTGCTTGCCACCCCCGTGTCCCCGCGCACTCGTAGGTATTCCTTAGCTTTGACTGATCATAAGGGTTGTTCCAAACCTATAAACAAAGAGCAGTAGTCTTTATAGCCAGAATACATGATTGTATAGATGCCGCACGGCTGAAATATCATCATCTTGCTACTGATCTGCTCTTGGTTTATGTTTAAAGAACAGACCTCTACTACTGCCCTGGCTATTTGACTATTACCTGACTATTTAATTACTCATGTCTACTATTATTGTGCAAAAATTACTACTATTATAATGTCGGAAATCTCATCCTCTACCTCTCCCTCCGCTACTGCTGATGAGACTTCTGAGCCCAAGGTAGTCTTGGGGACTATAATAAAATTGAATGGTACAAACTATCTGCTCTGGGCACAGGCTTTTTGCATCTTCATTGGTGCTCAGAGCAAACTCCCATATCTTCTGGCCTCTTCACCCCCCACCATAGATCCCATCTATAGTTCTTGGCTCTCGTCTGATTATTGTGTTATGACTTGGCTTCTCAACAGTAAGGAAGCACAGATCAGTAGCAGTGTTATGTTCTTAACCACTGCGAAGGAGATGTGGGAAAGCCTAAAGATTATGTACGGGAATGAGAAAAATTCTTCCCGTGTATTTGATATCTATGAGTGACTGTTTGCACTCAAACAGGGAGATAGGTCAGTTCCTGAGTTCTTTGGTGAGTTGAAGGGACTGATAGATGAACTGGAGATGCATCAGCCTGCAGTAGCTAATGCAGCGATGTTGTTGGGATATTGCCGCGACATAGCAGTGTCTAAGTTTCTTTCTGGATTGTACCCTACCTTATAGTCCCAGGTGAGAGGATAAATATTGGGTAGAGATATCATTCCCTTACTGACTGCTACATTCTCCAGAGTCATACAGGTCTCTTCTGGTGTTACTTCTGATACTACTACATCGTCTCCACCTTTAGTGGATTAGTCTGCTATGTTCCCTACTCGAGGCAGAGGCCGCAGTCGTGGTCGTGGTCATGGTCGTGATTCAGGGGGAGGTCATGGCTCCTTTGGTGGGGGACATGATGATTCTAATAGGGGCCCACGTCAGTGTGGTTACTATGATAGGACCAATCATATTTCTGAGAAGTGATGGGAGAAGTTTGGTCATCCTCAGTGGGCCCAGGTGCCTGACGCCGAGTCGACTTGCTCATTTATTTCTGCCACTACTTCTGGTGGTCCAGCTGCTACTGCTCCTACTGTTCAGATTTCTTAGACAGATTATGAGAGGTTACGTCTGCTAGAGCTCTCACAGAACAGTCATTCTGTTACTCATGCATCCTCTTTAGGTATGAATGCTTACATAGCTTCTCCTCACAAACACTGGGTATTAGATTCTGGAACCTCATCCCATATGACAGGTATAAAGGACCACTTTGTATCTTTACACCTTTCTGATAATTTTTCCTCTATCCGCATTGCTGATGGTACACTTTCTTCAGTTCGTGGTGATGGAATAGTTCATGCTACTTCCTCTTTGAAACTAACTGATGTGCTATATGTTCCTAAATTCCCTGTTAGCTTATTATCCATTAGCAAGCTTACAAAGCACAATAACTATAAAGTCACCTTCTTTCCCTCTTATTGTGTTTTTCAGGACCTAGCATCGTTTATAGGGTCAAAAAATTGACTGAGATTGATTCTTTTGTTTTAAGAAAGTTGTGTTCGATCACTTGGTACGAAACCCTTATAATCACTCACACTCTCTCTCGATTACAGATGAAGCGAAGATTAATTCAGCCTCTCTTTGTTTCATGTGGGTTCTTGGTGGCGAAAGAACGCTTCCCTCGATGCTTGAGTCGAGATTGCCTCCCGTTGATAATCAGAACAAGATTGCTGGAGCTTCTGACGTTCGTTAGCCGGTTAGAACTGAAGTTCGAACTCCAGATTTGTATGCAGAAACTCTGATCTCTGATAATTCTTAAAGTCAAAGTCAAAAATTTTCCACCCCCCACTCTTCATAGCTGCTCGTGGCTATTTATAGAGCTTTAGCACGTAATTGACGTGCTACAATCGTGGGGTCGTGGGTGTAACCGACTCCTGAGATTTAGCCCATGTTGATTAATGGAGCGTAACTACTCCTTAGATTTAGCCCACGTGGGCTGACTTGGTCCTTGTGACCGTTATAGGCGAACTTCGTGTGGATGATGAGCCTCATTACGTGGCGAGGTTCGTTTATGGTGATTTGGACGAGGAGGTTTATATGGAGCAACCTCCTAGGTATGTTGCTCAGGGGGAGAATATTATCTGCAGGTTGAGGAAGGTCATCTATGGGTTAAAACAGAGTCCTCGAGCTTGGTTTGATAAGTTCAGCAAGGTTATTTCTAGTGTTGGTTTCCAACGCTACCATTCTGATCATTCTGTCTTTCTTTGATGCACAATAACTGGTTTTTTATTTTAGCCGTATATGTTGATGATATTCTGCTGACTGGAAGTGACTCTGTTACCTTAGCAAAGACTAAGGAGTATCTAAACCATTATTTTGTCACTAAGGACATGTGAAAGCCAAAGTATTTTCTTGGGATTTAAGTTGCATATCAAAGGCATGGCCTGTTATTGTCCCAAATAAAGTATGTGCTAGATTTACTAAAAGAAGCAGGTCTCTTGGGATGCAAACCTGCAAGCACTCCAATGGAGGCAAATGTTGATTTGTGGCATGATGATACCTCTCTACTAGATGATGCTGGACGATATAGGAGACTGATTGGGAAGCTAATATATTTGACAATTACCAGACCCGATATTACCTTTGCAGTAGGTGTATTGAGCAGGTTTATGCACAAACCTAGAGAGGTTCATTAGACAACTGTTTTGAAGATTTTGACATATGTCAAGAGGTGTCCTGGTAAGGGATTGCTATATAAGAAGCATGGGCATACTCACATTTCTACTTTCTCTGATGTTGGTTACGCAGGAGACATGAGAGACCGAAAGTCAATCTCAGGATTCTGTACTTTTGTTGAAGGTAATCTTGTGACTTGGAGAAGCAAGAGACAAGATGTAGTATCACGGTCTAGTGTAGAGGCCGAATATAGAATAATGGCTCACATTACTTGTGAGATGATGTGGCTACGAAAGTTTATGACAGAACTTGGTTTTGTTCAGCCTGGACCCCATGCCTATGCATTGTGACAACCAGTCTGCCATTTACATTGCACAGAATCCTGTGTTTCATGAGAGGATAATATATTAAAGTTGACTGCAATTTTGTCAGAGATGCTTGTGAGAAGAAGATAGTGCCTCTCATATTCACTTCATCCTCACAACAACTTGTTGATATTCTTATCAAGGCTACTTCTTCAAAAGTGTTCTCTACTATATGTGACAACCTGAGCATGGTGGATATCTATGCTCCAACTTGAGGGGAAGTGTTAAATTAAGTATATTGGGTATTGGGTTAATGGGCTGTGACCCGTTAACCATACCTCTTTTTGTATGGTTATATATATCTCTCTAACTATCTTAATAAACAACTATTAGGGTTTTGCTCTCTATTATCTATTTCTACACTGGTGTAAGAGGTGTTGAATGCTCAGTATCCTAATTATAACTCAGGAAAACTACCTCGATAGATATCTCGCCCTACAAGCCATCATGTCAATATTAGTTGTAGCATCCTCTTCATCAATATTTGTGGAGTCTTGTAGACATCGACGCTTCTCCTTGGCTGCCGTAGCACCCTCACCAGTAGCTCCATCTTTAGCAAATATAATTGAAGCTTAACCTATTGTATCCAATTGAGATATCATGAATCATTTCTAAATAATATAAATCAATTGTTTTGTGAATACTTACATCGCTTCTTAACAAAAAGACAATTAAACAAATACAATGCATTTACAATTTACGAATAAAATGTAATTGTAAATCCATCATCTGTACATTCACTATGTGACTTCTTAATCTCAGAATAAAATATCTAACATATTATAATATAAAATAAAAAAGATCACATTCACTAATTGAAATAATAATTAAATATTCAGTAGAACATAAAAATTGCCCATAAATGTATTTTAGTGGGATAAATAGGAATAATTTTGTAAAGCGGGATATTTTTGATAAAATAATGCGGGATAAATTTTTATAATCATGAAGTATATATTTATGCATTCTAAGGATATTGATACTATTTTTATATTTTAAACTTGTTATTATTGCTTGATAATTATTTACGAGAATGCTATTTACTATTAAATAACTTTAGGTTAGACTATAAGATATTGACAATTTTTATTATAATATATGTTGTAGTTTATTATTATTATTATTATATATAGTACAAGGCTTAATTTTTTTTCACATTTTCCTTCCCTTTTTGCTCTTCTTTCCCTCATCTCTCAATTTTATTGTTTAATAAATTATGAATTGATACGATTTTAACTTTTAAATTAATTATATAAGTATCATATTCGACAAAAAATATCAGAGGTGACTAAGACGAGACAAGATCTAATTTGATGGCATGGTCTAATGATAGTGATGATCGTAGTAGGAAAGATGTAAAGAAAAAAAGAAATATAAAAGATAAAAATAATAAAATAAATTGGAGTTCTAGTTTTTTATCACCTAGTTCCAAGCTAAAACTTGGGATAATTTGAGAGACTAGAACTCTCATTTTGTATAGATAGAAAAATAAAAAAATGAGACAATTTTGTACAAGCATCCCAGTTCTAGTTTTGTTAGAATTCTAATTGACTAACATTGTCAAATTATATTCTAATTTTAGTTCTAGTTAACTAGCACTATAAAATTTTATCCCACAAATTATTCTAATTCTAGTTTTGAGTTCTATTTGACTAACCCCCTTAGAGACCCTTCCAAGAAATATGTATGAATCAGCCGCACTTATTTTTGCAGTAATCAAAGGTAAATAACTTAATCTCGGATTTAATCAATTACAACACCCAACTTAAAAAATACACGATTTAATTAACAATAAAACTTCGATTGAACGAGCAACTAAAGTCACTCAACAGCAACTGGTTGCATCTGCTCGGCCTCATTTCTTAGCTCTTCAAATAGTACTGAAGACAGGTACCTCTCACCCAAGCTGGGGTGAATTGTCTGCAAGAGGCAGTTTAAGAATAAAGATTAGTATCATTAGCTCTCTACATCACTATGCAGCTGAATTATAATTGAGTGTTAGATTATAAAATTACAACTCTTAGCGCTCACAACAACTTCAAAGTTTAATTTGGCACAGTGGAAGAGATTATAGAAGATTCAAACCTCATTTTCCATAGATTTGAAGTGAATTTAAGAGAAAAATATCATTGCATGGTTCTAGGATTTGACACATGAAAAGGATGCTTAACCTATCCGACGCCATAAGTTTTAGAGTTTTGGTGTGGTGGAGGGATATTAACATGGCATCAAAACAATCCAAATTAAAATCTCAATGGATGCATGTTTAAAAACAAAAATTAAAAAAAATAGTCTAGATTTCTGCCCATGACTAAAGCCCTCAATTCCGTGGGGTCATGTCGAGTCATTAAACTATAAACCTCGGCACTCATCATAACTTTTGAGTTTCGATGTAGTGGAGTTCTTTAACAACAAGAAGTATTCAAATGTTTTTCTACATCCTTTGTAAATATAAAGAGGATACTTTTTCTCATAGTTGATGCCTACTCGAAAGAATCACAATGATCTAACAGGAATAACAAAAGGAAACAGTATAGAGGAGATTGAACTTCAGTTATGAGATTAACAAATTAGAGTGCATACCACAATAAGTTTTCCTTTGTTCTCTGGCATTTTTGCAAGCCTAAGTGCTGCAACAGTATTAGCTCCAGAAGATATTCCTACCTACGTGAAACAAGAACAGAGATATGTGATCGTGCACATGCACACACAAAGACATACACAAACTGGAAATACTCATCTGTATAATAATTTATCTATAGTGATAACATTGTCACCATGTACTATAAATTTTTCATCAGTTTAAATGTTATATGTCCATCTAATGTGATTAAATGTTTACCAGAAGTCCCTCCTTCAGTGCCAATTCTCTTGCCATCTTCACTGCATCATCACTAGATACCTATGGAGTATATGAATTTCATAATTGCATTAATTTGTATATGTTTTGAAGTATATAAATGATATGGATGACAACTAAAACTTACCTCAAGTACTTTCTCCATTACATCCATATCCAAAATATCAGGCTTAAAACCCACTCCATTGCCAGTAATATGATGTGGACCTAAAAAAAGAAATTGGGTAAATATCAGAAAACCCCCCCTTAACTTTGAACAATTATTAGAAAACCCCCCTTAACTTTCAAAATATCGGGAAAACCCCGTTAAGTATAAAGGTTATCACAGAACCCCCTTTAACTTTCTAAATTTACCAGAAAACTCCCTTCAACTTTGAGATTTTATCAAAAAACCCCTCAAATTTAAGGGGGTATTTTTGATAAAATCTCAATGTTAAAAGGGTGCTTTATGATAACCCCTAAACTTTGGGTTGGGGGTCTGATATTTTTAAAGATAAGGGACGTCTTCTGATAATCGTGCAAAGTTAAAGGGGGTTTTAGGATATTTAGCCAGAATAAATTTGTATGCACATTAAAAATGTGAATTGGAGAGCGGAACGGTACAGTATTTAGAGTATAGCTATATATTGATCTAAGTAATGTGCGTATATACCGGGTTTTCCTCCATTCAATATATTGCTTTCTGTTGGTTCAACACCGTATATCTGCAAAATGTTATTAAATAGTTCAGGTGTACGTAATCACAAATGAACTTTAAGTAATTGAATAAAAAAGCAGAGTTATTTGAGATTAACTAATAGACATGATAAATATTAAGTAAAAATTGATCCTAAGAATGTACCTTGACATTAGGATTCATAGCCTTGAGATATTTGCCAACTCCAGTGACAGTACCGCCACTACCTATTCCCATTACAAAAATGTCTACTTCACCGAGAGTATCTTCCCATATCTCAGGACCTGTTGTCTCGTAATGAATCTAAAAATATTTCCACTCATCAGATGCAATATGGCATGTATGAATGAATTCATCGATGCTTAAACATGAAGTGGATCAAATTGAATATCTAAAAGGATATATTAATTCATATAAGAGACTAGAAGGAAGAGGGGATTTGACACTTGAAAAGTAATTCTTGCAATTTTTATATCACATATGTTTTGATACTGAACAATCATATGACTACTTCCCTAGAAGTTCCTAACAAAATTCTATATGTCGAAGGTTTCAGATACAGGACTGCGTCTACAGAGGTACATAATTGTACTGAAGTATATTACTGTATGGATTTGAGATTTCTTGTAGCACAGCCATTGTATGTGCGAGTATCGGCATCTGAAGAAGTTAGCAAGTCAAGAAATCAGATAACATAAACTCAAGCAAGAAGTAGTGTTTTCTTGCTAGTAGAATGCGGAGGTCTGCGGAATGAACTTTTGCTTCATTAAATGCAGAGGTGCCAATGAGAGATAATATGATGTGAGGTTATTATTAAGTGGGTGTCCAAATTAAAATGTCCAAATCATAATCTTTAGTTGATTTAACCCTGGTTTATTAACATATGGCCAATAGAAGGTAGCACTAAGAACAGGTTTAGGTAGTACTATTTGGAAACGTTCTACCGACTTCCATTCGTATCCACTTCTGAGTAATGAACTTACTGAAGAAATTACAGAAACTCAGAAGAATCAGTCAAACCAGGCGGCGGTCGACCGGTCCGGTCGACCGCATTCGTGCACAAGGCTTCCTGTGCGTCTGGAAGGAGGTCGGTCGACCGGCCCGGTCGACCGCAGATGATTCGGTCGACCGGTGCGGTCGACCGACAGAGATCTAGAGCTTTGTTTTAGGGTTTGGTCTGAGAGATTTGTAACCCTATTTGTATTCTCTTGATTTCTAGTAGAAAGAACTCCCCCCTCCTTGCCCCGTGGACGTAGGCAACTTGCCGAACCACGTAAATTGTGTGTTCTTGCTGTGATTGTGGTTTGCATATTGTTTGTGGTTTAGTTCTAGTTATTGTTCGTGTTGCCCTAGAAAGCTTCCGCCGCGCACAACAATTGGTATCAGAGCTAGATCGACAACATGGGAGATGCAAGCACGTCAGGTTCGTCTCTAACAAAGGCGATACAGAGTCTGAGCATCAATAACACGAAGATTGATGTTCCGAAGTTCGATGGCAAGATCAATTTTGGATTGTGGAGGTGTCAGGTGATGGATGCTTTGGATGCACAGAATTTGGAGGAGACTCTTGAGTTAAAAGAGAAACCCGCTGAGTTGGAGGATAAGGTTTGGAGAAAGATGAACAGTAGAGCTTGTGGTGTTATTAGGTCATGCTTGACGCCGGATCTTATTTATGATGTTATGAACGAGACGTCGGCGAAGAAGATGTGGGAAACACTCAATGAGAAATATCTTACGAAGAGCATTGAGAATCGGCTTCACTTGAAGAAGAGATTTTACCAGTTCAAGATGAAGAGAGGGGTTTCCATCAGGGAGCATGTCAACAATTTCACTAAGCTACTTTCAGATATGGCCAATGTTGATATTATAGTTGAGGATGAAGACAAGGCGATGCTACTTCTGTGTTCGTTGCCCGAAGATGATTATGGTACGTTCGTTCTCACTATGATCAATGGAAAAACTACAGTTAGCTACAAGGAGGTGACCTCAGCTTTGGTGAACTATGAGTTGAGGAAGAGTGATGGGTGAATCCTCCGAGAAGGCATCGGGAGATGCGTTAGAAGTTCGAGGCCGAGATCCAAACCGTCGTCAGTTTAACCGCTCAAAGTCTAAGAATAGGAGTGCCTATAAGAGTGTTGGTAGAAATCAATGTCGGTATTGTAAAGAAGAAGGACATTGGAAGATTGACTGCCCAAAGTGGAAAGAAAAGGCCGGAAAGAATAAGGGGAAAGCTGCACAAGCTTCAGAAGTAAATGTTGCAAAAGCTATTGGTGAGCATTCAGATTCAGATTCTTCAGGCTATTCATGCCCTGCTTTACCTTCGGTTTGCTATGCGGATTCCACGGAGTGAATGATGGATTCGGGAGCTACATATCACATCTGCCCTAAGAGGGAGTGGTTTTCTAGCTTTGAGGAGCTGGAAAGAGGGGATGTCGTGCTTATGGGTAATGATCACGTATGCCCTATTGGTGGTATTGGTTCAGTCCGGATCAGGATGCATGATGGTGTAGTGAGGGAATTGAAGGAAGTGAGGTTCGTGCCGCAGTTGATGAAGAACATCATTTCTCTTGGGACTTTGGAGGCAGCAGGATATCGAGTGATCTTAGAGGATGCTGCAGTGAAGGTCACGAAGGGTTCTATGGTGGTGATGCGAGGTGTCAGGAAAAACTACCTATACTACTTAAACGGCAATACAGTTACAGGGGGTCTGGCAGCTTCTATCACTACAGAGGAGGACACTACCACCTTATGGCACATGAGACTTGGACACACAGGTGATAAGTCCCTACAGTCATTGGCAAAACAGGGGCTATTGAAAGGTGCTAAGACCTGCAAGATGGAATTGTGTGAGCATTGTGTACTTGGGAAGAAGACTAGAGTGAAGTTTGGCACCGCTGTTCATAACACCCTAGGTACATTGGATTATATTCACACAGACGTTTGGGGTCCTTCCAAGAACACATCTCTTGGTGAGGCCAACTATTTTGTCACTTTCATTGATGATTATTCCAGGAGGAATTAGGTATACCCGATGAAGCATAAACATCAGGTCCTGGATATTTTTGTGGAGTGGAAGAAGAAAGTGGAGCTGCAGACAGGTAGAAAGGTGAAGACTCTACGTTCAGATAACGGTGGAGAGTACAAGAGTGATCCATTTCTGCAGTTTTGCTGGGATCACGGCATTAGAAGACACTTCACAGTTCGAGAGACACCGCAACAGAACGGGGTGGCTGAGAGATTGAACCGTACCTTGCTGGAGAAGGTGCGGTGTATGATGACGCAGAGTGGATTGCCTAGATCTTTTTGGGCCGAGGCGTTGGTTTATGCGAGCCATCTTGTGAACAGGTTGCCGTGCACTGCGATAGACGGGAAGACTCCTTTGGAGCGTTGGTTTGGTTCGGTGGCTAGTGACTATGAGTCGCTTCGGATATTCGGGTGTCCAGCTTATTATCATGTCAGTGATGGTAAATTAAATCCGAGAGCGAGGAAAGCAGTCTTTGTGGGATTTAGAGATGGAGTCAAAGGCTTCAAGTTATGGGATCCACAGGACAAGAAGATAGTTATTAGCAGAGATGTCACATTTGACGAGGCGTACATGATGAGGCCTCGAACCCCTCAGCAGGTGGAGGGAGACCAGACAGGAGAGATATCACAGCAGGTGGAGGATGATGTGACTCCACCCACTCCAGAGAACACTGTATCCATTGAGGCTCCTACAGAGGTGACACTGGGAGGAGATGAGATGACAGATGGGCAGATACAGGATACAGTAGATCATGGGACTCAGGAACAGGGTCATGTTCAGAGGACCATTGCAGCAGATAGACCGAGGAGAGAGATTCGTCGGCCAGCTAGGTATAATGATGTCATGGTCGCATATGCATTATCAGTGGAGGTCGTTGATGATATGGTTCCAGCCACATTCAGGGAGGCAGAGTCTAGCCCCGATTCGATCAGGTGGAGGGAAGCTATGGAGGAGGAGATGCGGTCTCTTCAGAAGAACGACACTTGGACACTTGCACATCTACCTAAGGGTAAGAAAGCTATTGGTTGCAAGTGGGTATATGCGAAGAAGGAGGGATCTTCTATTGGGGACATTCGGTTCAAAGCCAGATTAGTTGCCAAGGGATATGCACAGCTTGAGGGCATTGATTACAACGAGGTATTTTCACCCGTTGTGAAGCATTCGTCGATTCGGATTTTATTGGCGTTGGTGGCACAGTTGGATTTGGATTTGGTCCAGATGGATGTGAAGACAGCCTTTCTACACGGTGATTTAGATGAGGAGATCTACATGACACAACCACAGGGTTTCAAAGCTGCAGGAAAGGAAAATTTGGTTTGTAAGCTGAAGAAGTCTCTTTATGGTTTGAAGCAGTCACCAAGACAGTGGTATAAGAGATTCGACGGCTTTATGATTGGCCGAGGGTACACAAGGAGCCCATATGACCCATGTGTTTATATGCACAAGCTACAGGATGGTGAGCTCATATATTTGCTTTTATATGTTGATGATATGCTTATTGCTTCCAGGAATTCTTCAGCTATTCGAAAGCTGAAAAAGGAGTTATCATCCGAGTTTGAGATGAAGGATCTTGGAGAGGCAAAGAAGATATTGGGTATGGAGATCGAGCGAGACAGGGTGAAGGGGAAATTGAAGCTTACACAGAAGAGCTACTTGCAGAAGATGTTGAAGAAATTCAGCTTTGATGGCAATGCAAAAGCAGTTAGCACACCATTGGCTCCCCACTTCAAGCTTTCAGCGTTGATGTCACCTGTTTCAGTTGAGGACAGAGATTATATGTCGAAGGTCCCATATGCTAGTGCAGTAGGTAGCTTGATGTATGCGATGGTGTGTACGAGGCCAGATTTGTCACAGGCCGTGAGCATGGTATCGAGATACATGCATGACCCCGGGAAGGGTCACTGGGAGGCCGTGAAGTGGATTCTACGGTATGTTCGAGGCACCGTGGATGTTGGTTTAGTGTTTCAGAAGGATGAGAAGGACGGGCAGGCTTGTATTGGTTATGTGGATTCAGATTATGCTGGAGATCTTGACAAACGCCGGTCTACGTCAGGTTATGCTTTTACATTGGCAGGTGCACCTGTATGTTGGCGTTGCACGCTTCAGTCCACAGTGGCTCTCTCTACTACAGAGGCAGAGTATATGGCAGTTACTGAAGCTATTAAGGAGGCTTTATGGTTGCGTGGATTATTGGAGGACTTGGGGATTGCACAGGAGACTATTCGGATATATTGTGATAGTATGTCGGCTATCTATTTGGCAAAGAACCAGGTTTATCATGCGCGCACAAAGCACATCGATGTCAGATTCCACTTTGTACGGGACGTCTTGAATGATGGAGATGTCATATTGGAGAAGGTCCACACAAATGACAACCCTGCAGATATGTTGACCAAAGTTGTTTCAGGAGTGAAATTTGGTCATTGTTTGAAGTTGTTGAACATCCTTCAGTGCTGAGGCCGTTGGCGGCCATTTGGGTGAACTACGTTCGGCTTGATTCCTTGGGCAAGAGGATACGTAGGCAGTCTTTAGATGCAGCCGGTTTGATCAGTTGATCAAGATGGGGGGAGATCGTGTTTCAGCTCGAGTATTGTTCCTGGACCTGTTGAGGAACTATTGGATGGTTTGGTGTCGGCTCAGTTTTGGTGGAAACATTCGCCGAGGTGGAGAATTGAAGGAATTTCAGCATCAGCAGCAGAATCAGGAAAAACAGGCGGCGGTCGACCGGTCCGGTCGACCGCATTCGTGCACAAGGGTTCCTGTGCGTCTGGAAGGAGGTCGGTCGACCGGCCCGGTCGACCGCAGATGATTCGGTCGACCGGTGCGGTCGACCGACGGTCTCTCTGGATTTTTGGGGTTTTTGCTGGATGGTGATCGGTCGACCGGGCCGGTCGACCGACGAAGCGGATATCAGTTTTTCCAGTTTTTTGACCCGTTTCGTTTTGTAATCTATAAATACCCTAAACCTGATTTGTTAGGGTAACCTCAAGGACGATTTTGAGCAGCCTCCAAGAGAGTTTTGTTGCATCCAATTGTGGGAGAGATTTGAGAGATTAAGTGCTTTGTTTTAGGGTTTAGTCTGAGAGATTTGTAACCCTATTTGTATTCCCTTGATTTCTAGTAGTAAGAACTCCCCCCCTCCTTGCCCCGTGGACGTAGACAACTTGCCGAACCACGTAAATTGTGTGTTCTTGCTGTGATTGTGGTTTGCATATTGTTTGTGATTTAGTTCGAGTTATTGTTCGTGTTGCCCTAGAAAGCTTCCGCCGCGCACAACACTTACAAACTCATAACTCGTAAGATAACATAAGCTCACTATTCATTCATTAGCTTTTTTACATTACAGATATCTTTGATTTGACTGATAAGATTTTCGGGATTTCGTCTGTGAGTGTAGTCCCACACTGAAAAGAAAACGTGATGAACTTGAATAAAAAGTTAGGCCTGATAAGTGATGATCTTTAAAAAAAAGTCGGGGCTTAAACTCTGACGTTAATTTGGTTCTCAATCTCTATTTAAGGCTCATTAACTCCTTGTTAGGCATGATTTCGCTGTTGAAAAAGACAGAAAATCGAAGCAAAAAACAGCTACAGGATTTCATTCTGGTCGGTCGACCGACCAGATGCAGGTTTTGTGTGCAGGAATCATGCACGCGATTAGTCGACTGATGGAGCGGAACCGGTCGACCGATGAGCATCCACCAATCGACTGATGGACTTCCATCAATCGACCGAAAATGAGTTATTGGGCTGCCGAATTTTGTTTTCTAATCTGTTTTAGAATTAGTATATATATAATTGACGACACGTTTTTAGGGTTGAGGTGAGAGGTGTTAATCAGAGAATTTGGAGTTTTTTGAGCACTTTGAGAGGGATATTATTGTGAGGGAGTGAGAGATTTTTGGTTAGGGTTATTTTGAGAGTTTGTGTGAGTTGTAGCCCGTTGTTTTCTCCTCCATATAGTGAAATCTTCCCATCCTCTCCCCATGGACGTAGGCAATTTGCCGAACGACGTAAATCTCTGTGTTTGTGTGTAATTTTGGACGTTCTTTTGTGAATTACACTCGTTGGTTGTTCTCCTCTCATTGCTCGACGACTTGTTTGGTTTGTTCGCACGCTTCCGCCGTTGCGCAACATTCCCCGCATGGAAGAAATCCCTTAAGCCTCTTTGAAAATACATTTCTTCCAGAGACATACAACATATATATAGTTTTCAAGATTGAGAAATCAGCAAAAGAATGATAAGCTAATATTTGCATTTCTGGAAAATCTCGTGTTACATTAGTAATTTTTTAAAGCCCCACCCGTCAAAAAAAAAATGCTATGAGCATCTAGTTCTATAAATGTCATGTGTGATGTGAAATTAAAATGATTGGTTTATTTTAGAAGAATACAATATCAATGATAATTTTCCATAAGATTGTCTTAATTAGTACGCCAATTTCTTTCTCCTTCATTACTGCCTATGATACCGGATTAGTAAAATTAATTACTATGTGAACATAATCACGAATGTATAGGGAAGACTACACATGTGAAAAACACACCTAATAACAAAACATGCCGTCTTATAATAAGATCATGTGAACAATGAAAAGTTGAAAACAGTAAGTTTTACCTTAACATTAGCAGGGTTGTTGAACTGTTGAAGCATGAAAGCATCCTTATGAGAGTCCATGAGCTCATAGGCTTTCTTCACTGTACCTCCCATCCCCTTGGTAGGATCCGTGAGTACTAAGTTTGCTCCAAAGGCTCTCATGGTTACTCTTCTCTCAAGGCTTGTGTAAGAGGGCATTGTTAGTATAAGCTTGTATCCTTTTAGAGCGCACATGAATGCCAGTCCTATCCCCATGTTTCCAGATGTCGGCTCGATCAATGTTGTCTGTAATTGCATTACAAACACATTTTACAATCAACAACTTAGTAGGAAAATTGGCACCAAAAAAGTTTTTTCTTTTTAATTTTATTTTACAGTTTTCTCTAGGGTAACTGCAGGCTTGCGCGCGCGCCATGTTGATCTTGAATACCTCAAATATTTGGTACAGCAGAGCTACTCTGATTCCTTGCATGTTTGATTGCTTTAATTAAAAGAATTCTAAAAAATGATTGCTTAAAATTCTTTGAAATATATGGTTGATACATTATTAATTTTCAATCTGTGGTATTTATTTTATTTAGACTCTTTAGTTTCCCTAACTGTCGACTTTTGGAGAGAAGAAGCGAATGGTTGTTCTCACAAAGAGCCACTCGATTTATAGAGGGCTTCTTCTCCCAATCACATCCACCCCAAATCTGCCTCATATTAAACTCACATTAATTCTAAATAATAGCCATGAACAGCCTTGAATAAAATCTCATTAAGGACCAGTTTATTCTCCGTTAATATGCCATTAACACTATTGTTATTTCTCGTTTAACAAATGTGTTTATTTGGACAAATATTATTAACACTAACAAACGACAAACACTGACCTTGCCCGGGGTGATCAACCCATTCTTTTCTGCATCTTCAAGCATAGAGTAAGCAGGCCTGGTCAACAACAGTAACACAATAAATAATATACAAAAAAAATAATAAGAAGAATTATCAACTAAATAAAAATACAATAAAATAAGAGAAAATACAATACCTGTCCTTAACACTGAAGGAAGGTTGCATGAATTCTAGCTTAGCTGCCACCCTGGCTTCACACCCTTCGGTCACTTTGTTGAGATAAACTATTGGGGTCCTACCAATAAGCTGAAATTTATAAAAAATTTAAATTAATTAGATGGATTTTAAAATGGTGCTTTAATTTCTCCAGAAAAAATACGTATGCTAAAAATAGAATATTAACTAGGATTGGAAATCCTGATAATGTTAGTTTGTTGAAAAGATAAACCTATTAATTCATAATGAAGAAAGGGGGGAAAAGGCAAATAACAAAAAGTGTAGTTGCTGGATGTTCAACTCAGAAAGAGAGAGAGAGAAAAAAAAAACCAATTCAGATGGCAAAAGATACATTCAATAAAGAAAGTGGGTTCAGGAGAATAGAAGCTTGCCTTCGATGCATCAGCCTTGACACTGGTTGCAGCTCTAAGATAATTTTGAGAATGAGTTGACAAGGGTGAGATTTTAGAGGAAGGAGATAGAATTTTGGACCCTTTCCTCATCAAGCTCATTAGCTTTGCCATCTCTCTCCCTCTCCCTTCTTATCAAAGTGTCTTCCCCTCCCCACCACCACTCTCTCTCTTTATATCTAGTTTGCTCAAAAACCAGAGGATTAGTTATATCTCATGGTGGGCCAACTTTTTAAATATATTTATGTTGGAGAATATTGTAGTTAAATTGCAAAATTTCCAATACATAGAACCTGTACTATCCTTCTCACCTTCATGTGCTGTGGGTCCCTGTTATTTTCTTATCTATTAGAATCAAGCTTAATTAACATGACGCCTAAGCTTACTCGTCTCTGGTTTTGTACTGTGATGGCTGACACTTTGAGAAATAAATTGACCGATGAACGTCAAAATCGAGAGAACTCAATTAGGAATTTTACTACTGAAGTTGAGGGCCAGAGATCAGAGGGGCTGAACTTAACTTCTCGGGAATAAAGCACATGGTACATTTGGACAAAAGCGAAAAGCTGAGCATGATCCCGGCAGATTCCTCCAAATAAAGATTCCTTAAAATTTTTTGACTGGAAAGAGGGTGAGGTACTCAATTAGGAATTTTACTACTGAAGTTGAGGGCCAGAGATCAGAGGGGCTGAACTTAACTTCTCGGGAATAAAGCACATGGTACATTTGGACAAAAGCGAAAAGCTGAGCATGATCCCGGCAGATTCCTCCAAATAAAGATTCCTTAAAATTTTTTGACTGGAAAGAAGCGGCTGCAGCGTGCTCTGGACATCCTATATACTATATACTCATATATATATATATATATATATATATATATATACTATGATATATAACCTTATATATATTTAGTATATATATGAGATTAAATTGGGTATCCTTGCCAAGCGAGGGATTCCTCCCCCATGACGCTTCTAAAATCACATGAGTAGCGCATATTGTGGATTGATCTGCCCTCCGTTAAAACTTGACTCTACAATATTCTAAAACCCCTAAGTACACACCAAGTTTGGGCTGAACCCGTCGTCGTTTTGCACCCTCCATCGAAACTGTATCAATTTTAAACGGTTCCTTTGAATGAATAGGAACTTTTCACATGGGCTCGGGATGGGAGGGTCAAACGAAACAGAATTCACACCCAAAACTTTGGAACTGTTTGTTAGGATTTAGAATATGTAGACTCAACGTTAACCGGAGCGGATCATCCACAATGTCGCTCAATTCATGTGATTTTTAGAGGCGTCGCTAGAAGGGAAATTCCCCTCCATATTGACAAGAGATACCCATTAATCCTCTCTTCCATTCTCTCTATACTATATATATATACTATATATATATATTATATATATATATATACTATATATATATATACTATATATATATATATATACTACTATATATATATATTATATAACGTATATACTATATATATACTAATATATATATAAAGAGAGAGAGATTAATGAGTATCCCTTGTATATTATATTATATATATAGCGGGAATTTGTGATCTACTTTATGAGGATTGGTGCGGGATTGTGGTTGGCGCCACTATAGACGACAAGGAGAGGAAATCTCCTCCTATGACAAGGATACCATTAATTCTCTCTCTTTACTATTATATTATAGTATATATATATATATATATATATATATTATATATATATATATATATTATATATATAAAGAGGAGAGATTATGGTATCCTTGTCATATGGAGGGGATTCCTCTTTAAAGCTTCTAAAATCACATGATCTGAGCGACATCATGGATGATCCGTTTCCGTTGAACTTGATCATATAATTCCTAAAACCCCAACAACACAAGTTTGGGGTGAATCCTGTCGTCGTTTGACCCTCCATCCGAGCCATGTGCGAGGAAAAGTTCTATTCATTTCAAAACGTTAAAATTTGATACGATGGTTCGATGGAGGGGTCAAACGACGGCACGTTCCGTCACCCCAAACTTGCGTGGTGTTAGGGGTTTTAGCAATATGTAGATCAAGGTTCAACGGAGTGGATCGATCCACAATATCCGCTCAAGTCATGTGGATGTGTTAGAGGCCGTCATATGAGAAAATCACCCTCCTATGACAATGTATACCCATTAATAATATATATATTATATATATATATATATAATTACTATATTATTATATATATATATATATATATAATATCAAGGTAAAGCCTTTGTGTCAACTTAAGTGGATAGGGAATAGTGTGTCCACCCAAAGTTTTATAAACCACTCATATTGTCTAAGTGGATCCTTGTATATATAAGAAAGACTGTTTTATATTAATAAATGTGTGGCTACAATACTTTGCTAGACAATCAACTATAAGTTGATAAGGAGTCCTGCTCTCTCTCTCTTCTCTCTACTCTCTCTCTCTCTCTCTCTCTATCTATATATATATATGATATATATAATATATATTATATGATATATATATATATATCTACTGAAAAAATATACATATCCATCTTCTAGAGATTGTTTGAGGAAAATTCCAATATCCCAAGGACAAACAACCATTAATCATCAAAATACAAACCAAGTTAAAGTTAACCTGCTACACTAGTAACACCAGAAAAAACATCCGACAAAAAAAAACCAAAATGCTTCAAAAGGACAGAGACAAAAGACTGGGACTGGGGATAGGAGGACTATAGAGTCATATTGCAGCAGAGAAATTATCACCCACCTCAGCTTCGTCGTTCGCTTGAGCAATGAGCTTCATGCCCAGATTGATAGCAATTTTGTGGAGTTTAGAGCCAGTTCTACTGACAGAGGTGCTTGTCCAAAATAAAACATTTCTAGCAACATTAGAGGCAATGTGATAAGGACAAGCATCGATGCCATTAAAGATGAAGTTGTTGCGACAATTCCATAAACACCAACAGAAGCATGGGAGCAGAACTCTCCAAATGGTGGTAAGATCCTGACTGAGGGCTGAACTGAAGTTAAAAGAGATCATATCTTCCAGGTTGTTAGGCCAAACTGCTGAGGGAACTTGCGGGAGAAGAAAATACCAAGCTAAAGAAGAGAAAGCACAACTTATGAACAGGTGGTCATGAGATTCAATGGCCTCATTGCAGAGGGGGCAGCTGGGGCTACCTCCCCAACCTTTGGACACCAGATTATCCCTAGTATTCAACTTGTACTTACTTGCAATCCAAAAGAAGACTTTAACCTTCAGGGGGATGAGAGGGATCCAAATAAAGCTGTAGTGGCGGGAGATAACTCCTCCAGAGGTGATGAGAGCATAAAATGATTTAACAGTATAAGTACCAGAAGAGTGATAATGCCAGATGAGCTTGTCGTGAGAAGCTGAAGCAAAAATTGAGAATGAGGCTAGGTGGTTGAGAAGACCAATGATCTCATTCCTGGCAGCCTGAGAGATTCCTCTCCTTAAAATTGGATGTCACTGCCAAGCAGTTCAATGCATGAAGCATTGCGAAAGAGTAGAGCAATTCTTAAAGAAAGCAAGGAGATGAACACTTGGAAACAGGCTACTGAGGGAGTTAACTTTAGTCCACTTGTCACACCAAAATCTACAAGTTTTTCCATCCTCAACACTCCATTTAACGTGACTAAAGAAGGGAGGACAAATTGAATGCAAGTCATGGATGAATTTAGAAGCCGAACCCTTGTTAGGAGGGGGAGGGGGGGGGGAGGGGGGGAGACAATAGGATTGGATTGATTCTTAGAATACAGAGAGAAGATAACTTTACTGACAAAAGAGTTTCTATCCATGATTTTCCAGATCCACTTAGCTAGGAGAGCTATGTTAAAGGAAGAGCTATCTTTGACCCCAAGACCACCTTCTTTTTTTTTGCTTTGCAGACAGTTCTCTAATTGATAAGACACTTGACTTTAGAGGGAGGAATATGACCACACCATAGAAAGTTTCTCCTTGTTTTGTCAATGACTTTTATGAGCCAAACAGGCAATTTGAGGAAAGACATGTAGTATAAGGGGAGGGAAGAGAGAACAGAGTTAAGCAGTGTAAGTCTCCCACCAAGAGATAGCGTTTTGTTTTTCCAAAGTGCAAGCTTTTTAGAAAAAGATTCCAAAAGGGGTTGCCAATCTCTTCTTGAGAGAGAACCTTTCTTCAAAGGCATACCAAGGTAAGAGAAGGGGAGGTTACCCACAGAGCAGTTAAAAGAGCTAGCTAAACGTGCACCCTTGAAAGGAACATTGCCTAAGTAGCAGAGGCTAGTTTTGGACTAGTTGACTTTAAGTCCAGAAATATTAGCAAAGATCAAGAGAACTATTTTGAGGGTTGTAATGTCGGAATGAGAAGCTTTAGAGACTATGATGATATCATCTGCAAACTGGAGTGATCTAATAAGGTTTAACTCACCTTTGAGGTTAAGGTTAGAGAGATCACCAGAGGCAACACTACTCTTAATCATTTTGCTATGGACATCCACAACCAACAAAAAGAGTATAGGTGAAAGTGGGTCACCCTCCTTAAGACCACGATAGCACTTAAAAAATTTGGTGGGAGAGTCGTTAACCAAAATAGATGATTTGGAGGAGGAGAGGATGAATTGGATCCCGGAGCACCATTGAGGACTGAAGCCCCTAGCTCTGAGAAGGTTCAAGAGGAAATTCCAGTTAACACAATCAAAGGCCTTGAAGAAGTCCACCTTTATAGCACAGATCTCCTTCTTGCCAGAAGAGCAGAAGTTAACCATCTCATGGGCTAAGAGAATGGAGTCCAAAGTAGATTTCCCATTTTGGAAAGCAGCTTGGGAATTGACAACAAGCTGAGGGAGGAATTTTGAGTCTATTGGCCAAGACTTTGGTAAAAATCTTGCAAGTGCTATTGAGGAGGCTGATAAGTCTGAAGTCAGGGGGAGAACATGCACCATCTTTCTTGGGGATAAGACATATATAAGAGTAGTTTATGTTATGAAGGAGTTGGGGATGAGAATAGAGGGGTTGAATGAAAGAGATAACATCAAGATGAATTGTGGACCAAACTTTTAGAAGAAAAAAAAGTGGAAGGCCATCAGGGCCAGAGGATTTTTCAGGGTGAAGATCAAAGACATCAGATTTTATTTCTTTAGGGGAAAAAAGAGAGTCAAGAGGAGATAGATCTAT